GAGGATAATCTCAGGCGGGATCTTTGGGAGATAGGAGTCGAAGGAGACTGAATTTTGTTGGCCCAGGACAGGGTCCGGTGGAGGGCTTTGGTTAATTCGGTGATGAACCTTCGGGGTCCGTAAGCCATCTGGTTGGTTGGGTCCACTATTTGGGAAGCCTGAGGGGAAGAGACCTCTGGGGAGACCTAGACGTAGATGGGAGGATAATCTCAGGCGGGATCTATGGGAGATAGGAGTTGAAGGAGACTGGATTTTGTTGGCACAGGACAGGGTCCGGTGGAGGGCTTCGGTTAATTTGGTGATGAACCTTTGGGTTCTGTAAGCCATCTACTTAGTTAGGTCATTAGCAACTATCTTCATTTTAGTATACAAGTGTAAATTTGAAAAACCCTGACAATGTTTACAGAAACAACAGAACACCTTCAATACATGATCAGTCACAATTTCAATGACAGATCCAAGAACACAAGCATATTCAGAATCTTGCACTACACTACAACACAAAATAAACAGGTGAGTGGCTTCTTGCTTTTTTCTGTTACACTAATCTGAAAAACGTATGTTGGAATGTACAAGTGACGCACTAGAACTGATATCGTACCTGCCCTGCACACGTGTACAAATGTGTGCGCCGCACGCATACAGACAAATGACTTGTAACATTAACACATGATGAAAAACAGGTTTCACAATTCAATATTAATCAGAGCATGGACCTAATGGAATCCAGTCACATCGTTGCTTATTGCAACTCCTTTTAGACACAGATAACGACGTGTGTTTAAGATCAACAAAATAATGTAGTTTTTCACAGCCCTGTTCTACTTATAGTATTTTTCAGCGGAATTGGCGGCTGGGTCAAGTTCTGCTCTTTGTGAGTGACCAATCAACGCAAAGGTCTGTTGATAAGCAGGGAGACCTCAGTCTGTTCAGAACCCCCGTGGTTGAAGCATCGGCAGCCGTACTGCATTGCCGCCAGTTCTTACGTGTACTTTGAGTAGTGTTATAACCATTCGCTGGAAACCAATGCTACATCTTGCGCCACTGTATGCTGTTTCCCCACCTTCTCGCCCCTCCACCTCACTCCTTTACTTCCTGCCAAGGCACAGTACCTGTGATTGGCGCATGCTCCAGCAGCCAATTTGGCTGAAAAGCATAATAACTCCAGAAACTTTTCTGGGACATTTGGAGTAACAAGATGAAAAAAGGACAACATCCTCCCAATTAATGCCACACAGACTGTGTAAAAAAATTAAAGAAGTTAGAAAACGCACATCGGTGCAATAATTCTGGCACATTCACCATAGTCTGAGCTATGACTTTCCCTCAATGAAGCTTGCCCGTCTGTCTGGTGATGACATCATCATAGAGGATTTCCCCCACACGGTTATGCATGTAGCTGGTGATTCCGCAGCCAGTGACTTCCACACACGCGTAGGTGTTCGTGTATAGTGCACCAACTTTTTTTCTGATTTTAACCAAATTTTGAAGTGTTGACAATTTATGTTATTTACATGTGGTCTATTTAATAATACAGTCACTAGGTGAGACTATACAGCATCAAATAATGTGATGGGGAATGAATAATGAATTGGAAAGGATGTGGCAGAAATCAATCACAGTCTAATTTAAGGCACTATCCTGGCATTTGCCTGGAGATACTGAGGAAAATCATTAAAATTGTTGTCTAGGATAGCTGGGACCTCCTGAACATGGGACAGGAGTCTAATCACTTGGCCATACATTAAAGTGTTGACAAATTTGAGTAAAACTACAAAATATTAGATTTTGTAAAAATCCATTCAATCATAATCATACAGCCAGAGTTTCTTGCATACACTGTAATAACTCGCAGAGAAAAAACACGTAAAGTTCACGGTGACTTCACTGGTTTGTAAACACCCAGGTTTCTAAATACAAAACTGTTCACGAAAAGAATATTATCAATACTTACATTTCCAATAGGTTTTTCAGTCAACTCAATCAGCTTCTCTGTCAGACGAGTGAAGTCATTCAAAAGCTTGGCATTCGTTGTGTTTTTGAATATCGGATCATTTAGCACTTCCTCACACCTCTTGACACGAAAGCTGGATGACGACTGTAAAAATACTTTCAGTCACAATTCCATCAACTGACCTTGTTAACATCAATCAATTAAAATGCCATGTTACAAGTGGACTAATACTTTCATAATGGTTAACATACAGAACAGACACGTCTTCAGAACCTGACTGTTTTATACGAGGTGCGATCGGAAAGTTTCAAGACTGTGTCAATAGAGGGCGAACCGGATGTAGTACGAGCTTCTGCCTTTAGGGGGTGCGGCCTACATTCATAGTGAATCAGTGTGCCAGCCAGCATCATCGAATTAGCATTTGTTTCTTAGTTACGGGCGCTTTGGTAGTGCATTACACCGACCCTCCTGCGATTTCGGAATGGCGGATTTTCATGAACAAATCAAATTTTGCCAAAGACTCGCCAAAACGGCTACGGAAACCTATGAAATGCTAAAGCAAGCATTTGGGGAGTCCGCAATGGGTCGTGCACAAACTTTTGTGTGGCATTCACGTTTTAAAAATGGCCGAACCCCTGTCGATGAT